TTTACTGAGTTTGATTGAATAAAACTTTAGACTAGGGTTACAAGACACGATGGCTTAGATTGAGAAGCGAACGAAAACGCAATGAACAGAAAGGAGCAGCTTAAAATATGAAATTGTGTTTTATAATAGTAATAATTATAATATACATATATAGTCATTTAAATGAAACTAATAAAAAAAAAATTTTTGGATTTCCCAACGACACTTTATTTTTGATATAAACTACATAATCGCGTTATTAATCACATTTCTTGAAATTAAAGACAAATTGACAGACATTCACATCCGTCGTCTTAATATCAACGGTTGATGTAAAGTAACCGAAACGCGTCCGGAGAAGTGCTTAGTTTTTTTATCAAAAAGAAATTCACTTTTAGCAATAATCGCAAATACTTATTTTCATTTAAATGCATAAGACTTCGCGTCAATCTTAGATCCTCTTGATATATTGTAAAGTGTATAGAACATAAGTATATTAACACCTAGTTTAAGTTTAAAAAACCTCATTATCTTAGACTTTTTAAATTTTAAAAACTATTTAAGTTATATGTTTAAGCGGTAATAGCAACAATAAGTAGAACTTATTTTTTTTGCAGTTCATCATGCTCGTTTATACATAGAACTAAATGAATACACATTTACATATTTTTAGCATTATAACTAACCTCCTCCCCTTTACTTTTGACTATCCTCTTTATGTAAATCTCTCGAGAAGTACTAAAACAGTATTATATATTATGTTTTAATCATACTACCCTCTCTGTAAGATAGACATAAAATCCGTTAAGCCGACCCGATAGATTTTGTGGACAAGTGGAAAAAAATACTCAAAAGTTGAAAATGGTTATATATAATTTAATAGGACATATATATAAGTATATATATAATATAATAGGATTTATTACATATTCGTTGTTTTTACAGTCTCGTTGACGTAACTAATGTCACTTCTTTCAGTACGTTCTATGTTATTTTAAAATGAAACTTCAATTGTTCTTAACTTAATGCTCCTGTATTTATCGAAGGTTCTTCATAATCACATACTTTAATGATACGCACTCACTGAACTCTGAAGTCTGCCATCGTGCGTCCAGACGTCATATTTATACCAAGATTCAAACATAAGTCTATTCTCTTTTAAACAATCTTTGATCTCGTTTTACTTTTAACAATAATCACGAATACTAATGAGTTTTAATAAGAATTGATTATATATAATATATATACAGGGTGGACTGGTGAATTACTATCGATATTTGAGGACGTGATATTTGACGATCATATATGACAAAATAAAAATTAATATAACATAAATATTAATAAATTTCTAAGTAAAGTTAACCAAAAGTTTTGTAATTAAAGTACGCATCGTGGAAAACACCCTACAGATTAGGTATACACACACACATACACTCGCGCGCGGCGGCGTGCTGAATACAACAACACGCCGCCGCGCGCGCGTCCACACTTGGAACCCTTGGAACGTGTACACACTTTATTTATTTATACGGAAATTTGGTCAAAAATTTAAGTGCCTATTTTTTTTACATAATTCGAATGAGAATCATGTACCGAGTATGCTCCTTAAAATATTGATAGTAATTCACCAGTCACCCCTGTATATATTATATATATATATATGTATGTATTATTTCCAGGTTCGTCCATAGCAGACAGTTAGCTGCCGTACTTCTTCTACTGCTGGTCTAAAAGGGATGGTATACAGTATATATACAGCTACAACATATAACAATATGACCAAGAATGATAAACACTGTTTCTCATATACTATATCATAACATTTAAAAAATATACTAAGCTTATTTCCATGCTTTACCTGGCCAAAATATATTAAAATATGTAATCTAAAATCTAACAGAGTACAAGATAAATATAAATATCTTGGAAAATAAGTAATTAAAATATCACGATTTCAAAGAAATATCGTGTTTTATATTTATCCCTACTTATATTATAAATGCGAAAGTAACTCTGTCTGTCTGTTACGCTTTCACGCCTAAACCACTGAACTGATTTTAATGAAATTTGGTTACAGACATAGAGTTAACCTTGAGAAATAACATAAGATAGTTTTCATCCCAGACATTTGAAAGGTTCTCTTGGAAACGTGATATAAACCGAACTCCACGCGGGCTAAGCTGCGGGCGGAAAGATGGTATGAACTAATTATAACCGAAACCATTTCATCAACTTCCATATATTTCATAATCGTTTGAACCATCAGTACGTAGAATGGTGTAGGAGTGTGTGTGTCTATAATATTCTCTTTATATTCATCTTCTACCTGGAAATTTCCCAGCTATAGCCAGGTCTGCCTTACATGTAGTAATAGTTTTGGCTGATAGTTTTTTACGACCGGCCGCCTGCCTGACATCAAACCCTCTTTGGGAATACATTAATCAGTGATGTCTAAATACTCTTATAAAGTACATATGACTCGGAACATCACATTGGTACTTGCCAGGATCAAACCACTAGGACACCACTGACGTATACTTAAATATATTTTATATCATTATTAAAAGTAAATTTAAGACTCACTAGTGAGAGGGTGAGTGTGATGTATACAGGCTGTGTTGTAAGTTGTAACAGTACCTACTAGGAACCTAACTTATATGTATATTATAATAAGAATTATATTCTATATCTAAGACAACATTGATTCACTTGTATAAAACTCTCTGTGCGAGGTGACTAAAGCGACCTTAGCGTTTATTTATTTATTTTTATTTAAAATCTTTATTGTCTAACTACACACGTAGATACAAAAGGTGGACTTAATGCCTGAAGGCATTCTCTCCCAGTCAACCCTTAGGCAAAGCAGAAAGACATGAAGACGGTAGTATGTAAAAGTAAAACTATACATATTAATTTCTATTGATATATACATAATATATACACATATATATAGATACATATACATACACATACATATACATACATACCTTAGCGTTTCTTACTAAACCGTTTTTTTTTTTTTGGACCTGGAGTTTGTTTTACGGGTGCAAAAATTAAATAACTGGCCCGATCTAAATATTTTTTTCATAAAACCTCCACATATAACAGTTCTATTAAACATAAAAACATCGTCTCGATTATACATTTAATTGCCAAGATCATCTCAATATAATGATCTGAACCGCCAGTATATTAACGTACACTCCACTCACTTTATCTAATAAAACCCCTAGTATTATAAACTTAGTTTAGTGTAATCATTGTAGCTGCATGTTATACATAAGGAGGATTATAGGATGAGGAAGGATCATACGGATATAGAATAGGAATATATTAAAAAAATGTCCATCGGTTCGTAAACACCTCCTAAATATATACGGTAAAATATCTGGTCAGGGAAGCAAATCCCGGAGTGCTTCGGGAAAGCAATTTTTGTCCTCATTCCCAAAAAAGATATAGTTACTGATCCGAATGATACTAGACCGATAGCTTTAACAAATACTATATCGAAAATCTTTTTTCTCGGTTCTACAAACGAGAATGACGCGATTCATGCTCAGCAACAACTATTTTAGGCCAAATCACCAGAAAGGGTTTTTACCCGGGATTTCTGGATGCCTAGAACACAACACCTTGCTGTCGGAGAGTTTGAAAGATGCTAGAAAAAGCGAGCGGCAAATCACTGTTTGTTGGATAGACTTGGAGAACGCGTTCGGGTCGATACAACACGAATTGATGCTATTCGCGCTCAGATGGTACAACTTTCCACCCCTAGTTAGAGATATGATCGCGTCGTATTACTCAAAATTAAGGTTTTCTATAATAACTAAAGAAGGCCCTTCAAAAGGTTTGAGTTATAATGTAGGACTGTTTCAAGGTTGTTGTCTATCTCCAATTACGTTTAATATCGTTATTAACATCTTAGTAGACAAATTAATCTGTAACGAGAAAAAAATGGGGTTATCGGTTTAAGTTTAATAATAAATACACGGAATCCATTTTAGCCTTCGCTGACGATCTCGCAATACTGACACGTAACCCCAAACACTGTCAAGTACTAATGAAGTGGATCTGTAAGTGGACGGATGGATTGAGGACAAAACCCAGTAAATGTCATTGTCTGTGTCTTGGTAGGCGGAATACAAGATACACCTCATACGATCCGGGACTATCGTTAGGCGGTCAATGCATTTCTACGGTTACGGAAAATGCACCATTTAAATTTCTCGGTCGTAAGATTGATAATATAGGCTGTACTCCATCTTTAGAAGGAATAGTAGATAGCTTCTTGAACGATCTTAACAAGGTAGATAGCCAACTGATAAGTAACGTCAAAAAAGCGTGGATCTACGAGAATTACTTAACTTCACGTTTGAATTGGCCTTTCCTCGTCTATGATTTTAATAAAACCCTTTTGTCAAAGTTAGATGCAGGCGTCATAAAGATGTTGAAGTTGTGGCTCGGGCTCGCTCTAACGGCTGATTCATCGGCGTTATTTAGGGGAAGCAATAGTTTTGGGATGAGTCTAAAAAGGCCATCGGAGCTCTATAAAACACCTAAGAGTTTCCAAGAGATATATCCTGGGGAAATCCCATGATGACATAGTGACATCGCTCCCAAAAGATGAAGATGCCCCCGAGCTAGAGTCACGACTTCAATTCAATTCCATAAGCAATTTATGATAGGAGCACAAAGTAACAGAGCGGGGTTAGGATCAAATAGGAAAGTCCAAGATGCGGATATATTGAAGTCTTTTATTCGGCAAGACGAGAATGATAAATGTAAGATTCATGCAATGAATTTAGAAATGCAGAACGAGTGGTTAGACATAGGAGATTTTTGCATCCCATTAGCATTAAAATGGCGCACTTTAATTTATGATTGGTCGCCAGCATTGCTAAAATTCTATATCAATGCGTTCCAGATGACTCTCCCAGATCAGAGTAATTTAGTAAGATGGGGTAAAAGTACCGACAAAAACTTGCTATATCTGTGGAAAGGCAGTTGGAACTGCTAAGCATCTGCTGGTGGGATGTAAGGTACTCCTGGACAGCGGTCAATACTCGCGTCGTCACGATAGGGTTCTAGAAGTCATACGTGAAGCGGTTAGTCTTTCGGTGGCCAGAGCGCAAAAGGAAATAACCACAAACGAACGATCAGTAGGTTTTGTGAGAGAAGGCACTAGGGCTACAAAATCAAACGTCAAGCCTTACTCCATCCTTAAAGCGGCGTCGGATTGGACTATAATGATGGACACGTATGAAAAGCAATATAAAATCCCCGAGGATATTTGTGCGTCGGCCTCCAGACCGGATATATTTTTGTTTTCGCGAATTTTAAAGCGCGTAGTGATGATAGAGCTTACGGTCCCTTGGGAAACCAACATCCCCAAAGACCATACCCCCAAGGTCAACAAATATTACGAGCTCACAAACGAACTCACTCGAAATAGGTTCGTAGTAGATTTGTACGCGGTAGAGGTGGGAGCGAGAGGTATAACAGCGAAATCGATCTACAACCTACTAAAGGGCTTGGGCTTGTCCAGAACTCACATTAATGCATTCTTGGATCGTATATCGAAGGCAGCCCTAGTAGGTTCTTTTCAAATTTGGTTAGGTAGGGAGAGGAGCTTGGACAGTGGAGGTGAGCGTATAACGCGCGTTAGTTAAGGGGCCCCCTTAAACCTACACTTGGGTCGCAAGTCCCAGGCACTGTTGAAGCTCCTCTCCCTGCAACGCGATGGATCCGGCACCCGCACGGTGAATCCATGGAATGCTTAGTAGTTTTCGTCTCGTCTATGAACGACGACGCACCAGGAGAAGTAATGACAAGTTGTCTTCTTGGTAACAGTTTCGTTATATGTTATACAATTTAAAATGAACCACACATTACAATATTTGGAGTTTATATTAATATACATAAATATATGTTATTATATATATATTAATTATATTTTTCAGTTCAGTCAATGAAGAAGGCTTCAAACATCAAATGTACGCCATGTACTCCACGCCGACATGCTACCTGCAGACGACGCACCAGGAGAAGTAATGACAAGTTGTCTTCTTGGTAACAGTTTCGTTATATGTTATACAATTTAAAATGAACCACACATTACAATATTTGGAGTTTATATTAATATACATAAATATATGTAATTTATATTTTTCAGTTTTGTCAATGAAGAAGGCTTCAAACATCAAATGTACGCCATGTACTCCACGCCGACATGCTACCTGCAGACGACGCACCAGGAGAAGTAATGACAAGTTGTCTTCTTGGTAACAGTTTCGTTATATGTTATACAATTTAAAATGAACCACACATTACAATATTTGGAGTTAGTATTAATATACATAAATATATGTAATTATATTTTTCAGTTTTGTCAATGAAGAAGGCTTCAAACATCAAATGTACGCCATGTACTCCACGCCGACATGCTACCTGCAGACGACGCACCAGGAGAAGTAATGACAAGTTGTCTTCTTGGTAACAGTTTCGTTATATGTTATACAATTTAAAATGAACCACACATTACAATATTTGGAGTTTATATTAATATACATAAATATATGTAATTATATTTTTCAGTTTTGTCAATGAAGAAGGCTTCAAACATCAAATGTACGCCATGTACTCCACGCCGACATGCTACCTGCAGACGACGCACCAGGAGAAGTAATGACAAGTTGTCTTCTTGGTGACAGTTTCGTTATATGTTATACAATTTAAAATGAACCACACATTACAATATTTGGAGTTTATATTAATATACATAAATATATGTAATTATATTTTTCAGTTTTGTCAATGAAGAAGGCTTCAAACATCAAATGTACGCCATGTACTCCACGCCGACATGCTACCTGCAGACGACGCACCAGGAGAAGTAATGACAAGTTGTCTTCTTGGTAAGAGTTTCGTTATATGTTATACAATTAAAAATGAACCACACTTTACAATATTTGGAGTTTATATTAATATAAATAAATATATGTAATTATATTTTTCAGTTTTGTCAATGAAGAAGGCTTCAAACATCAAATGTACGCCATGTACTCCACGCCGACATGCTACCTGCAGACGACGCACCAGGAGAAGTAATGACAAGTTGTCTTCTTGTAACAGTTTCGTTATATGTTATACAATTTAAAATGAACCACACATTACAATATTTGGAGTTTATATTTATATACATAAATATATGTTATTATATATATATTAATTATATTTTCAGTTTAGTCAATGAAGAAGGCTTCAAACATCAAATGTACGCCATGTACTCCACGCCGACATGCTACCTGCAGACGACGCACCAGGAGAAGTAATGACAAGTTGTCTTCTTGGTAACAGTTTCGTTATATGTTATACAATTTAAAATGAACCACACATTACAATATTTGGAGTTTATATTAATATACATAAATATATGTTATTATATATATATTAATTATATTTTTCAGTTTTGTCAATGAAGAAGGCTTCAAACATCAAATGTACGCCATGTACTCCACGCCGACATGCTACCTGCAGACGACGCACCAGGAGAAGTAATGACAAGTTGTCTTCTTGGTAACAGTTTCGTTATATGTTATACAATTTAAAATGAACCACACATTACAATATTTGGAGTTTATATTAATATACATAAATATATGTAATATATATATATATTAATTATATTTTTCAGTTTAGTCAATGAAGAAGGCTTCAAACATCAAATGTACGCCATGTACTCCACGCCGACATGCTACCTGCAGACGACGCACCAGGAGAAGTAATGACAAGTTCTCGTCTTGGTAAGAGTTTCGTTATATTTTATACAATTTAAAATGAACCACACATTACAATATTTGGAGTTTATATTAATATACATAAATATATGTAATTATATTTTTCAGTTTTTGTCAATGAAGAAGGCTTCAAACATCAAATGTACGCCATGTACTCCACGCCGACATGCTACCTGCAGACGACGCACCAGGAGAAGTAATGACAAGTTGTCTTCTTGGTAACATTTTCGTTATATGTTATACAATTTAAAATGAACCACACATTACAATATTTGGAGTTTATATTAATAAACATAAATATATGTTATTATATATATATTAATTATATTTTTTCAGTTTTGTCAATGAAGAAGGCTTCAAACATCAAATGTACGCCATGTACTCCACGCCGACATGCTACCTGCAGACGACGCACCAGGAGAAGTAATGACAAGTTGTCTTCTTGGTAACAGTTTCGTTATATGTTATACAATTTAAAATGAACCACACATTACAATATTTGGAGTTTATATTAATATACATAAATATGTTATTATTATATATATATTAATTATATTTTTCAGTTTTGTCAATGAAGAAGGCTTCAAACATCAAATGTACGCCATGTACTCCACGCCGACATGCTACCTGCAGACGACGCACCAGGAGAAGTAATGTCAAGTTGTCTTCTTGGTAACAGTTTCGTTATATGTTATACAATTTAAAATGAACCACACATTACAATATTTGGAGTTTATATTAATATACATAAATATATGTAATTATATTTTTCAGTTTTGTCAATGAAGAAGGCTTCAAACATCAAATGTACGCCATGTACTCCACGCCGACATGCTACCTGCAGACGACGCACCAGGAGAAGTAATGACAAGTTCTCTTCTTGGTAAGAGTTTCGTTATATGTTATACAATTTAAAATGAACCACACATTACAATATTTGGAGTTTATATTAATATACATAAATATATGTAATTATATTTTTCAGTTTTGTCAATGAAGAAGGCTTCAAACATCAAATGTACGCCATGTACTCCACGCCGACATGCTACCTGCAGACGACGCACCAGGAGAAGTAATGACAAGTTGTCTTCTTGGTAACAGTTTCGTTATATGTTATACAATTTAAAATGAACCACACATTACAATATTTGGAGTTTATATTAATATACATATATGTTATTATATATATATTAATTATATTTTTCAGTTTAGTCAATGAAGAAGGCTTCAAACATCAAATGTACGCCATGTACTCCACGCCGACATGCTACCTGCAGACGACGCACCAGGAGAAGTAATGACAAGTTGTCTTCTTGGTAACAGTTTCGTTATATGTTATACAATTTAAAATGAACCACACATTACAATATTTGGAGTTTATATTAATATACATAAATATATGTTATTATATATATATATTAATATATTTTTCAGTTTTGTCAATGAAGAAGGCTTCAAACATCAAATGTACGCCATGTACTCCACGCCGACATGCTACCTGCAGACGACGCACCAGGAGAAGTAATGACAAGTTGTCTTCTTGGTAACAGTTTCGTTATATGTTATACAATTTAAAATGAACCACACATTACAATATTTGGAGTTTATATTAATATACATAAATATATGTAATTATATATATATTGATTATATTTTTCAGTTTAGTCAATGAAGAAGGCTTCAAACATCAAATGTACGCCATGTACTCCACGCCGACATGCTACCTGCAGACGACGCACCAGGAGAAGTAATGACAAGTTGTCTTCTTGGTAACAGTTTCGTTATATGTTATACAATTTAAAATGAACCACACATTACAATATTTGGAGTTTATATTAATATACATAAATGTATGTAATTATATTTTTCAGTTTTGTCAATGAAGAAGGCTTCAAACATCAAATGTACGCCATGTACTCCACGCCGACATGCTACCTGCAGACGACGCACCAGGAGAAGTAATGACAAGTTGTCTTCTTGGTAACAGTTTCGTTATATGTTATACAATTTAAAATGAACCACACATTACAATATTTGGAGTTTATATTAATATACATAAATATATGTTATTATATATATATTAATTATATTTTTCAGTTTAGTCAATGAAGAAGGCTTCAAACATCAAATGTACGCCATGTACTCCACGCCGACATGCTACCTGCAGACGACGCACCAGGAGAAGTAATGACAAGTTGTCTTCTTGGTAACAGTTTCGTTATATGTTATACAATTTAAAATGAACCACACATTACAATATTTGGAGTTTATATTAATATACATAAATATATGTAATTATATTTTTCAGTTTTGTCAATGAAGAAGGCTTCAAACATCAAATGTACGCCATGTACTCCACGCCGACATGCTACCTGCAGACGACGCACCAGGAGAAGTAATGACAAGTTCTCTTCTTGGTAACAGTTTCGTTATATGTTATACAATTTAAAATGAACCACACATTACAATATTTGGAGTTTATATTATTATACATAAATATATGTTATTATATATATATTAATTATATTTTTTCAGTTTAGTCAATGAAGAAGACTTCAAACATCAAATGTACGCCATGTACTCCACGCCGACATGCTACCTGCAGACGACGCACCAGGAGAAGTAATGACAAGTTGTCTTCTTGGTAACAGTTTCGTTATATGTTATACAATTTAAAATGAACCACACATTACAATATTTGGAGTTTATATTAATATACATAAATATATGTAATTATATTTTTCAGTTTTGTCAATGAAGAAGGCTTCAAACATCAAATGTACGCCATGTACTCCACGCCGACATGCTACCTGCAGACGACGCACCAGGAGAAGTAATGACAAGTTGTCTTCTTGGTAACAGTTTCGTTATATGTTATACAATTTAAAATGAACCACACATTACAATATTTGGAGTTAGTATTAATATACATAAATATATGTAATTATATTTTTTCAGTTTTGTCAATGAAGAAGGCTTCAAACATCAAATGTACGCCATGTACTCCACGCCGACATGCTACCTGCAGACGACGCACCAGGAGAAGTAATGACAAGTTGTCTTCTTGGTAACAGTTTCGTTATATGTTATACAATTTAAAATGAACCACACATTACAATATTTGGAGTTTATATTAATATACATAAATATATGTAATTATATTTTTCAGTTTTGTCAATGAAGAAGGCTTCAAACATCAAATGTACGCCATGTACTCCACGCCGACATGCTACCTGCAGACGACGCACCAGGAGAAGTAATGACAAGTTGTCTTCTTGGTAACAGTTTCGTTATATGTTATACAATTTAAAATGAACCACACATTACAATATTTGGAGTTTATATTAATATACATAAATATATGTAATTATATTTTTCAGTTTTGTCAATGAAGAAGGCTTCAAACATCAAATGTACGCCATGTACTCCACGGCGACATGCTACCTGCAGACGACGCACCAGGAGAAGTAATGACAAGTTGTCTTCTTGGTAACAGTTTCGTTATATGTTATACAATTTAAAATGAACCACACATTACAATATTTGGAGTTTATATTAATAAACATAAATATATGTAATTATATTTTTCAGTTTTGTCAATGAAGAAGGCTTCAAACATCAAATGTACGCCATGTACTCCACGCCGACATGCTACCTGCAGACGACGCACCAGGAGAAGTAATGACAAGTTGTCTTCTTGGTAACAGTTTCGTTATATGTTATACAATTTAAAATGAACCACACATTACAATATTTGGAGTTTATATTAATATACATAAATATATGTAATTATATTTTTCAGTTTTTTTAGTCAATGAAGAAGGCTTCAAACATCAAATGTACGCCATGTACTCCACGCCGACATGCTACCTGCAGACGACGCACCAGGAGAAGTAATGACAAGTTGTCTTCTTGGTAACAGTTTCGTTATATGTTATACAATTTAAAATGAACCACACATTACAATATTTGGAGTTTATATTAATATATACATAAATATATGTAATTATATTTTTCAGTTTTGTCAATGAAGAAGGCTTCAAACATCAAATGTACGCCATGTACTCCACGGCGACATGCTACCTGCAGACGACGCACCAGGAGAAGTAATGACAAGTTGTCTTCTTGGTAACAGTTTCGTTATATGTTATACAATTTAAAATGAACCACACATTACAATATTTGGAGTTTATATTAATATACATAAATATATGTAATTATATTTTTCAGTTTTGTCAATGAAGAAGGCTTCAAACATCAAATGTACGCCATGTACTCCACGGCGACATGCTACCTGCAGACGACGCACCAGGAGAAGTAATGACAAGTTGTCTTCTTGGTAAGAGTTTCGTTATATGTTATACAATTAAAAATGAACCACACTTTACAATATTTGGAGTTTATATTAATATACATAAATATATGTAATTATATTTTTTCAGTTTTGTCAATGAAGAAGGCTTCAAACATCAAATGTACGCCATGTACTCCACGCCGACATGCTACCTGCAGACGACGCACCAGGAGAAGTAATGACAAGTTGTCTTCTTGGTAACAGTTTCGTTATATGTTATACAATTTAAAATGAACCACACATTACAATATTTGGAGTTTATATTAATATACATAAATATATGTAATTATATTTTTCAGTTTTGTCAATGAAGAAGGCTTCAAACATCAAATGTACGCCATGTACTCCACGCCGACATGCTACCTGCAGACGACGCACCAGGAGAAGTAATGACAAGTTGTCTTCTTGGTAACACTTTCGTTATATGTTATACAATTTAAAATGAACCACACATTACAATATTTGGAGTTTATATTAATATACATAAATATATGTAATTATATTTTTCAGTTTTGTCAATGAAGAAGGCTTCAAACATCAAATGTACGCCATGTACTCCACGCCGACATGCTACCTGCAGACGACGCACCAGGAGAAGTAATGACAAGTTGTCTTCTTGGTAAGAGTTTCGTTA